CTCTTTCCCCTGTTTTAACTCTGCAATCTGTGTTGTTTATTCCTTCCTTTCATTACAACCTCCTCAGTATTAGTGCTTTAACCCGGCATACATCTTATACTGTTATTTTCTCACACGATTCTTATATCATTCAGGACCCTATTCGGGACTTGATGATAAGGGTGATCTCTTCAACAATTTATACGTTCTCCATGTGCAGTAGTCTGGGTCCTCTGCACATTCCATCCCACAGACCTTTTGCACTACTTTCTCCACCACCAGTGTTGATGTCTGGCATCAACGCATGAGACATCCATCCAGTTATAAAATCCAAGACATTTCTGCTTCTACCCCACCTCGTTTTGTTCATACAAACACATACAATACAGATTGCGACATATGTCCCCTAGCAAAGCTACGTCGTCTCTCTTTTCCAATCGGCGGCAATTTTTCTGATAGACCTTTTGCTTTGTTGCATTTAGATACTTGGGGACCTTTTCCCACTCCCACTGTCGAAGGCTATCATTATTTCCTTACTATAGTGGATGACTTTTCTCGTGTTACTTGGATTTACTTAATGAAATTCAAGAACGATGTTTTGGTTCATTTTCCAGCATTTCTTTCTTATGTTCATGCTCATTTCGGCCTCAAGGTTCAGACCATACGAACTGATAATGCGCCTGAGCTCTCTTTTTGAGCTATTTTATCCAGACAGGGCATCAAGCACCAGTTTTCTTGTCCTTACACACCGGAACAAAACTCGGTTGTGGAAAGAATGCATCAACACATCCTCAATGTAGCCCGAGCCTTACGTTTTCAATCTAATATCCCACTTTGTTATTGGGGAGATTGTATAAGAACTGTCGTTTATCTTATCAATCGAACCCCCTCTCCATTACTCAACCACAAAACTCCCTTCGAAAGACTGACCACCAAACCAGATTATCTGCATCTCAGAAACTTTGGTTGTCTATATTTTGTGTCTATACATCGCAAAGATCGCCACAAGTTCTCTGAGCGCGCTTCTCCCTCTGTTTTTCTCGGCTACCCTATGGATGTGAAAGGTTATAAGGTGTTAAACCTTGAAACCAATGTCATTTCCATCTCTAGGGATGTCAAATTTCATGAAACAGTATTCCCCTTTCATAATTCTACTCCTTCTCAGACAGTTCCCTTACCCTCTTCAAATGTTTCTTCCATTCCTTTTCATTTCTATGACACATCCAGTCTTATACCACCTAGTCCAAATTCGTCTGTCACCCCTATTCTGGATTCTAATATTCCACCCCCTATTTCTCCATCATCTTCTCCTATGATTGAACATCCAGCAAACGTGCGTAAGTCTGAACGTATAACAAGACCCCCCTCTTATCTTAATGATTACCATTGCTACCTCCTTCAACATCAGACTCCTCCCTCTCACAAATCACCTACTAAATATCCCCTTACCTCTTATCTTTCTTACTCTAAACTCATCGAACCCTTCAAACTCTTTTCACTTCGAATTCTCAAACTGAGCCAAAGACTTATAACCAAGCCATCAAGTCTGATCAATGGAAAGCTGCCATGGAAGCTGAGTTAAATGCTCTTTGTCAGGCCAATACTTGGACTGTTTGTGCTCTCCCTTCCGGAAAAAACCCAGTTGGTTGTAAGTGAGTATTCAAGACAAAGTATCATGCAGACGGTACTATTGAGCGCCATAAGGCTCGATTAGTTGCGAAGGGTTATACCCAAATTGAGGGGTTGGATTATCTTGATACATTTAGTCCTATTGCTAAACTAACTACAGTTCGAGTGGTTCTTGCTCTCTTGCAGCCTCCCATCAATGGATTCTGTCTCAAATGGATGTCTCCAACGCCTTCTTGAATGGCGACTTATCGGAGGAGATATACATGTTACTTCCTCCTGGCTATGTTACGCTTAAGGGGGAGACTCTACCTGAAAAACTCTGTCTGTAGGCTGAATAAGTCGATTTATGGCTTAAAGCAAGCCTCTAGGCAATGGAACATCAAGTTGTCTGAAATTTTACTGCGAGACGGGTTCATACAATCTACGACTGATAATTCTCTGTTTATCAAGAACTCTGGCAGCTCAGTGATTGTGATTTTGATTTATGTTGATGACATGATTCTTATAGGAAATGATGCTCTGCTACTTCAGCAAACTAAGACCAACTTACAGACTCATTTCAAGATCAAAGATTTGGGTCCTGTTCGTTTCTTCTTAGGTATTGAGATTGCCAGAGCATCCTCTGGTATACATTTGAATCAGAGAAAATACACCTTAGAGTTGTTGGAGGAATATGGTCTACTTGGTGCGAAGCCTCTCGCAATCCCTATGGATACTAAGGCGAAATTGGGTCTTGAATCTGGAACTCCTATTGTTTATGCCTCTTTTTACAGACAATTGATTGGTAAACTGATATATCTATCCGTTACAAGACCGGATATCAGTTTTGCTGTTCAAAAACTCAGTCAATATATGACTGCGCCACATACTGATCACTTACAGGCGGCATTCCGAGTACTATGTTATCTAAAGCTTGCTCCTTCTCAAGGTTTATGGTACTCTGCTTCTTCCTCTGTTACCTTAAGCGCCTATTCTGATGCGGATTGGGCTTCGTGTCTCGATTCCCGTAGATCCATTATAGGCTACTGCGTTTTCCTTGGCTCCTCTTTAGTATCTTGGAAAGCTAAGAAGCAGGCGACTGTTTCTCGCAGTAGCTCAGAGTCCGAATACAGGGCACTTGCCCAAACATCCTGTGAACTCTTGTGGCTTTCTGCTCTACTGAAGGAGTTGCACATTTCTTGCCCGCAACCATTCACTATATTCTGCGATAATCAATCAGCTTTGCATTTGACAAACAATCCCGTGCATCACGAACGATCGAAGCACATCGAACTTGATTGCCACTTCATTCGAGATCACATCAAGTCTGGACTTCTAAAGCCAATGCATGTCTCTACTACTCATCAACTGGCACATCTTCTCACTAAACCTTTGCCCTCTGATCATTTTCAATATCTCCTCTCCAAGATGGGAATCCAAAATTTGTGTTCTCCATCTTGAGGGAGAGTATTAATCGACATAATGATCACGAGACTATGGTGATGTCTGGCAAGACATGTACAATGGAGGATGGAGTAGTAGACTTAGCTTTTTTCTCATTCGTTTGTGTATATAAACACATATTGTACTATTCTTTAAGAATTAAGCAAAAGTTTTTACAAACTTCTCGCCTCTCGAGTTTTTCTCTCAAGGTTCTTCAATGGCTTTCGCAAATCTGGGTTTTCTGATAAACACCTAAAAAAAGAAAATATTTAACTGCTGACGTGGAGATACGGAGGAATTTAAAAAAAATAAAAAGTATGTATGGGCTGGAGATATTTTAGGAGCAACAAGTACAGAGAGTGAATTGTGGCATAGCAACCTCAAACCTAATCTCGGTCCATTTCCGGACATATGGGACGTTACGAACCGTCGATTGTTTTAAGTGTCCTTTCTCCTTGCATATCTATTTTAGTGGCTCCTATTTTTTTTTTTGTTAATTTAAAAATATATATTTTATATTATTTACATTCAATATTAAGATTGACACATGTCATCTTTTTTTTCAATCAAATTTTCTCTCGAAGATTCTTCGCCATTTATTCTTTTATTTTTTTTATATAGTTATTTATCATCTACCGAGCGGGGATGGACCGACCGTACTCACTACTCACCACCGTCACTTTGTAGGAAAAAATTGTTTTTTTTTTCAAATGGATAGAATATAATATATATATATATATATATATGTATATAAATTCTTTAAAATCAAAGCAATTGATCACGCTACAACATTGCAGAAATCCCCACACACCCAGAGTTCATGTTGTTTCTTTTTAAAACTCAATGTAAAATTTATATAATGCTTATATTGTTACTATAGATTGTTTCAAAAAAAAATTATTCAATTATCTAAAAATTCGATTAGATTTATTTACAAAATTAGAACTGTTATATATATATATATATATATTATAACTTTATAAGCGCCATGCTTGTATTTATTCAAATGACACGAAAAAAGGACGCTAAACTATTGTAGTTTAATTATTAAAGCTACGAGTCTACGACCGACAAAAATAAATAATGTTTGGGGTTTTGTAATGGTGGCTACGAGAGGTTCATTGTGGATGAACCGATCATAGGGTCCAAGCCCAAATTATGGAAAAAAAATAAACGTATATTAAGATGGGCCCACCAAGTGATGGTGATAGTTAACGGCCCAAATCATTGACAATGGGCTCATCATGGGCCCACCTTCACGATTGGTGATTAGAATTAATGATTACCAACAAAATTGGATAAAATATTATTATTATTATTATTATTATTATAAACATTATTAGAGAAAGATCACCAACCGGATATTTTCTTATTTCCTTTGTTGGGTTTAACTACAAAAGTTTGATGTGTTTGTGCGTTTTGTAACGTGTTGGTTAGATCCAATATTAATGAGAAAGTCTCTATATTTATCATTAAGATTGAAATTCATTACCATTTTAAATTTAATTTTATAAGTTTTAATTCTCACTTATTATTCTCTGATTAATTAACATGCACTCATTTTAATGACCAACAAAAGTTATTACAATTTTATATACGAGTACCAATCACCACTTATAATAAATATTATTATGATAATATTTCGCTAAATCCCACTACGATATTCACGATCTTTCTGGACCAAAATTGCATAAGATTTTCGCCGGACTCCTTTCACATTAGATCTAAGATTGTCTAACAATGAAAAATGAAAATTTAAAATATTGACTATAAATATCGATTATGCTCTAATTATCGCAATGAATTTGTACGCATTATATATGTTTGTTATTGTAAATATATAATAAATATTAGATTGGAATAAAATATAATTTAAATAAAAAATTGTTTATTCGTTACTAAAAAGTATTTTGGAAAGCAAAGGATTACAAAACAAAGGGCCCAATTAGTTGAACTGCTCCGAGGTCCATATCCGAATCCCATGTTACCTCCCATTTACATGTTTAACTTTATTTTAATATTTTAATTATTCTAATCACGTGATTAGACGTACCACAGCTTTTGACTTTCTCTTCCTCGAGCGCTTTCCATATTTTTAATTTCATAAGATTATACCATTCTAATCATGTTCATGGACCACGGTCCATATCTCTAACGACCATTTTAGATAAAGTGGATTACATAACAACTATACAGCAAAAAATGAATATGGTATCACGAAGGAAGAATATCGTGTATTGATATCTAAGTTTGAGTGGTCTAATCATAAAAAAAAATACGTAAAACATGTTTTTAATCTGAATTTAAACCCAAATAATTATCCCGATTATCTGAACACAAATACTTTAATCACACATATATGTACAAATGATATGCATTCATATATAATAGTATTATAATTTGTAATCCATGAGACATTATAAGCCATCAAAATTATGGGTTATTTTTAATACTTTTGAGATAATTAGTTTAAGAAAAAAAAATCTCTGTATATAAATTTTCCAAAAAATAAGTTTTTAAAAGTTATTCTTATAAAAAAAAATATAAAAAAATGGTTTCAAACACACGTGTCTGGCCCGACATTCCTCAAACCCGAGGCGGCAAACTTGTCAAAATTATGCCCTGTCCAAAAGCTGACATTATTATTAAAAATAATATCAGTTTATTTATAAAAATAAAATATGAAATGATTTGTAATGGAAAATATATAAAGTTGAATGCTTTATCGTAGTGTCCTCCTAATACAAAAAGCTTATGAATAATCTGCTTTTAGTCGATATGACCAACTCTAAAACAAAGATTAAATGATTATTTTTAAGACATTTTTTAATATTAAAGATTTATATTAATGCGTGTGATTCAAAGGGATTTAAATTAAATGAATTAATGCGCGTGTATATATATATATATATATATAAATGTGGTTTTTTTTTATCAAAATGCAGCAATCTTATAAATATGCATACGCGGTTCATGTATTTAGAATGAAGATACTGTATTCTTGCATAAAAAATAATGTATTTTAAATCAGGAAATCAAGCGCGTTTTACACGATCAATAATAAATGGTTTTTATTATTACTTTATTTAATAATTTCGTAATTATTTGAAACGTTAAGGTCATAAGATTCGTATCCTTTGAATTATCATAGGCTCTCTTTTTTTGTTTCCAGTGGTTAACGACAAAATAAAATAAAAGCCTTCGCCTTTTTCTCCTTTGTTCTTTTGGTTTTTTTTTTTTTACGAATTCTTTTGATTTCTCAGATTTCACTTCGCTGAAAGAAAAAACAATCCTCAAGTTTTGAAGTTTCTCATCGACAAGCTCTCACCAAACCTCTCTCCCCCATTCACATTTATCCCCGAAATCTGCATTTTCCATCAAACGGAGCAGAATTCTCCTGTTTCTGTTTGTTTCTCGGGAAAATTCTAAGGCAAAGGCGGAACCTTTGAAATCCCCATGGTTCTTGACTGGATTCACTCGCGAGCTGGTTAGTGCGCATTCACTGTTTCCTTCTTCAAATTTTTACAGCCTTGCCTTCACAAAGGTCTCATCTTTTTCCCTTTTTCTCCATTTTTCTCAGCAGCCTCACTTTCAGAAATAGAAAGAACAAACCTTTTTCTCTTTTTGTACCCAGGATTTGAAATCCTGCAAAAACGTAATCTTGGGTCCCGTATCTGCTTTGAATTCGAAGCATAAACTCGAATCCTCGCCTTAATATTCTCTCACTTACAGTTCCTTCCTGTAGAAATGAATCAACTTTCCAAATTCCATCTCTCAACGCCTAATGCTCTGGTCAAGTATGTGATCCTTGGTGATATTATCGTGGGTCCGAGGTGAGAAAATAAGTGCGTGTTTCTTCAGTCAGCATCTCTTTCATGTACCAAACGTGGAAGAACTTTTGATTTTTTTTTCCCTCGTCGTCAAGTTTGGCTTCTGTCTGGAAATTAATTCAAACATGGGTCGTTTTGTTTTTGCCTTTGTAATGATTATCTTCAGGTGAGAAAGCTCCGATCTGAAGCATGCCCAGACGAGATTTCAGTTTCTCCCTGTCTTCTGCTGCTGTTTCCATTGCAACCTTGACGAAATCCAAATGATGTTTCGGGTTCTGCCACTGTTTCTCTGTTTAGGGTTTTGGGCGTTACAAGTTGCAGTTTCAGAGATTCCACTGGGTTCTAGGCTTCTTGTCGGTGGTGAAGACAGCTCATGGGCTTCTCCCAATGGTGATTTCGCTCTAGGGTTCTTCAATTCCTCCGATTTAGCAAACCGGTTAAGCATCGGAATCTGGTTTAACTCCAGAACCATCGCTCCTGATCAAAGAAACGTCGTTTGGGTTGCTGGAGCAGACGTTACCGTTAGCGACAACTCTTACTTCGAACTCACTCGGAACGGGGAACTGGTTTTGTTCGATTCCTCGTTGGGTGTTCCTGTCTGGAACAGCAAGACCGGCCGGAATTCTGTCTCCTCGGCTCTTCTCCGTGATGATGGTAATCTCGTCTTGATGAATCAGAAAGATGAGATTGTTTGGCAAAGCTTCGACACTCCATCTGATACGCTGCTTCCAGGTCAGAAGCTATCACCTTTCGAGATGCTTAGAGCTGCTAGCGAGAATTCTAAGTCGAGTTATTACAGTCTTCACATGGCGGATTCGGGCCGGTTAGAACTGAGGTGGGAGAGCAGCATTACTTTCTGGTGGAGTGGAAATGAAGCCCTGGAAGGGAAGAACATTAGTGCTGTTCTTGCGTCAGAAGGAGCGCTGTTTCTAGCGGATGAAGACAAGAGACCTGTTTGGTCTGCATTCGGAGAAGATCATAACGACACAATGGCGAAGTTTCGGTTTCTCAGGCTAGACAGGGACGGTAACCTCAGAATGTACACTTGGAACAGTGGTTCGAACATGTGGAAGCCAGTCTGGCAAGCTATCGAGAACCAGTGTCGTGTTTTCGCAACCTGTGGCCAGCAAGTTTGTTCGTTCAACGCGTCTGGACACGCTGACTGCAAATGCCCGTTCAGGCCTTCCCCGATTTCAGACCCCAAGTGTTTGGCTCCCTACCAGCAGTCAGGCTGCAAGTCTGGCTTCGGCATGGTGGAATTCAAGCACTTGCATCTGTACGGGATCTACCCGGCTAATGACTCTGTTTACTTCCAGATCAGCTCGGATAAATGCAAGAAGATCTGTTTAGATAACCCTTCTTGTACAGCAGTCACTTACATGAACGATGGTACTGCTCGGTGCTTCATGAAGCTAACTCGGTATATCAGCGGTTATTCTGACCCGTCTCTGATTTCCTTATCGTATGTCAAAATATGTTCAGACCCGGTTGCTGTTGATCCAAGATCTTCAAAAGGGTCAGCTTCATCATCATCAACTCCTACGAAATCCTCCGACATATGTCTTTCCTGTCTTGTCGTCGGTGTAACTTGCACAATCTTTGTTTTGTTTCTCGGAGTTCAGATTGGAATCGGTCTATACATCTGGCGGAGAAGGAAGCGAGTCAGTAAGAAAAGTATTCAGCTTTCCCAAGGGACAAACCCGAAGGGACTGGCGGTGTTGTCCATCGATGAAATCAAAGTCATTACAGGAAACTTCAAACACGGAATAGGGCATAAGCTGTTCAGAGGGGTTTTGCCTGAGAATCAACTGGTTGCAGTCAAAGAAATGGAGACGGCCTCCATGGAAGAGAGGAAGTTCAGGAGCTCAGCCTCAAAGATAGGAAGCATACATCACAAGAACCTCGCAAAGCTCGAGGCTTTTTGCTGCGAATTGAGCCAGAGGTTTCTCGTTTACGAATTCGCCAAGAACGGCTCGCTTCTCCGCAACATTCAAGATTCTCCGCGAAGCAAGAAGCTAAAATGGAGAAAAAGAGTCGAAATCTGCATCGCCATAGCCAAAGCCCTCGGTTATCTCCACACAGAATGCAGAGAGTTCATCTGCCACGGGAACCTAAACTGCGAAAACATACTACTCGACGAGAATCTCGAGCCCAAGTTGACGGAATTCGGATTCAGGCCGTGTTCTGCAGACAAAGACGTCGGAGATTTCGGCAAGACAGCGTTAACAGTAGTATCGGGTCGGTGTGATCCAACGGAAATGTACGAATGGGCGTATAGAGAATGGATCGAAGGGAGGAAAGAAACGATCGTAGACAAGGGAATCGAAGGAGGGTTCGACCCAGACGAGCTGGAACGAGTTCTGAGAATATCGTTTTGGTGCGGTCAGGCGGATGAACGGCTAAGACCGTCGATGGAGGAGGTGGCGAAGGTGTTGGAAGGCACATTGTCGGTGGATCCGCCGCCGCCGCCGTTCGCCGGAACAAGATCATCGTCGCCTTCTAACTCGTCGATGTCTGGACCAATCTGAGCGGTTGGATTGCATATCGGTGTATATATAGATTTCCTTGTCGGATCTTGATTTTTAACAGAAAGGAGACAGCGAAGGTTGACTCTTTGTTCTTTGTTTATGGCGGTTGATCAGATAATAACAAATCGAACCATTAAATGGATATCAAAATGAAATGGTTATGATTTTTTTAAAAATTGAAAAAAATAATATAAACGAGTCGAATAAAAACGAATTTTTTGAAAAATATTAAATCTAATATAAAAATAACTAAATCAGAACCGAAACCGAATAAATTTTCGCTGTGTAACGAAGAAAAAACAATTGTCTTTCTTGCCTGAAGCTCAAGTGCTGTCGGGCCGCTTTCTAATGCAAGTGATGCTCTTGTATTGCTTGTTGGGCCATTAAAAGTTTATTGGGCTCATTTTCGGCCCACTAACTTTGTTCACTGTTGTAGGGCCTCGTTCTAGCCCATATTAGCCCATGAAACAATTTCATAAAAATTTGAATATATGTAAAATAAACGGGGGCTTAAAAAAGTATTCCAAGTACCCATAAAGTTAGGGGAAAAAAACAGTACAGTGATAAATATGAATTTCATATTTTCCAATTTATCTATTTTTAATATATGGACCGGAAAATAAGGGCAAAAATCGAAAAGCCTCAAGAGGATTATTTGTGTGGGTCCCATCGCAGCTGAAAGCAACCTGCGCGTTAAACGCACGCGTTGTGTGGACCATACACGAACCTTCCTTCCTACTGCGGCCCCCCTTCACTACCACGTTACCATTATAATGACTACACATTCACATATACATGTACGTACACGCATATACGCGTGTATATATATATATATATATATAAGTAATTCCATTTTATTTAAGAAAAATACTTGGACCGGCAGCAGGTAACTAGATGGCATTTTCGAAATTCCTTAAATTTACATTAATTTTCTATTAGCAGTTGACACACCCATCCACATAGAAGAAATGAACATGTAACATGGGTTGTGATAAAGAGTTCAAATTCTCCACGTAAGAGGAGACTACTTTTGATTCGGAGTCTCCCACCTTTTTTTTTGCTTTTGGACTTGAAACATATACATATATATATATGGGAGGGTGTGGACAAAAATTAAACCGTACGAATCAGTAAACAGAAGCAAGTGGCACCAAGAAAGGACAGAGTGAATAAAACTTTGTTCTGTCCTTTCCTTCTCTCATTGGCTGTAATGTTATTTCCCCCCACACCAACTGATAACTGCACTAACGACCGTTCTTTTGGAGATGAAAAAGCTGTCGACTTTATTTATTTACATAACCCCATCCATCAATTTCCGAATCAATGTTTCCACGCTCGACCCGCGATTCAAAAACCCAATAATGATGTAAATTTATGCATATGATCATATTTATGCTTTTCACAACCAAGATGGTGGACTCGTATTTTAAATATTACCTAAAATTGGATGGTTCAACAAATAAAAAAAAAAAGAAAACTTTCTTTCTCTAAATACGAGTATCCACTTGGCTTCGAATACCCACTTCAGTTTTTTAAAAGATACAGTTGAATCGAAAATCCGATGAATTTGAATTTTCAAATTATCAAAAAAACCTTAGTTTTAAGAATTACTTTTGATTTCGGAGGAGGAAAGGAACACAAAGGAAGAAGTTGAATGAGAATGAATCAATAATTCAGACAAGGAAGAAACTCAAAACGTGTAATAAACGGAACTCTCTCACTCACTCTCAGTTCATAGTTTATTTCGTATCTCCCCAGAGATCATAACTCATCTCGGTCTCTTTCATCAGTAAAAGCCAAATCAATGGTAACAAATGCAACATGGCAACATCATCATCATCATCATCTACTCTGAAACTTTCTCCCTACCCGTTTCGATCTCTAAACTCGAGATTCCAAAAAAATCTTCGTTAGCTCAGTTCAATAGCGTCTACCACTATCCCCCTCGTTCTGCCCGGTGCTCCTCCGTTGAGCAACGACAAATCCAACACGACCCTGATCACCATTACCAGACATGAGAGACCGGAATTCAGAATGACAGATGGCTATATTGCGAAGAGGGTTGAGTTCAAATGGCATAAAATCGTTTACCTCTTCTCTGCCGCCTTCCCGGTCTCTTGAATCGTGATCTTGTTTTCCATCTTTGACACCTTATGCTCTGCTGGAAGATTGACCCCTTCCACAGCTGTAATCAATCAAATTTTCGATAGCCATTAGCTTTCTTTCTCGAGTTTCTTTCGCAAAAGAATGAAAGTTATTATGCAAATGATCAAATCGTTTGTTTAACCTTCCAAGTTGTTGAATGGAACGTTTCCGTCAAGCCCCAGGAGTTTCTGCAACAAAGCCAGTGTCGGTATGAATCAGAATGTGACAGCATTTGCGAGAATTCATATGTTCTGTAATGACAATGGGAGATCACCTTAAGGCTCTCGTAGCACTCCTCGAGGTTGTCGTTATAGAGGATATGATCAAAGATTCCGGAGGATTTCCCCTCTTTTATCTCTGCATCTGCGTTTCTAAGCCTTTTCTGGATCTGCTCTTCTGTCTCGGTTCCTCTGTTTTAACCATTTTAAGTCGGAAATAAGTCTCTCAAAACTACAATGAACGGTCCGAAAAATAGAAGGAAGGGTAAATACGATTTTTTTTACCGGGCACGGAGACGGTCTTCAAGTTCCTCCATTGATGGAGGACAGACAAAAATGAATATGGCATCAAGAGAGCTTGCCCTCACAGATCTTGCCCCTTGAACATCTATGTCAAGGATGCATCTCTACACAAAAGCCATGATCAAAGAGAGAGAACCCTTTGAGGTACACCAGCAGGAAATCATCATCAAGCTTTCAGACTAGGAAAAAAAGGCAACAACTTTCCAAATTTTTCGTTATATATACCTTTCCCGAGTCGGCCACCACCTCAACAGCTTCAATGCTGGTTCCATACAGATTGCCATGAACAGAAGCAAACTCCAGAAACTTCCCATCTTTGATTTCTTTCTCCATAACACTTTTCTCGGTGAAATGATAATGAACACCGTTTTTCTCCATGTTCCTGGGAGCTCGAGTTGTGTGGCTAACTGAGAACCCAAACATGGAAGGGAACTCCTTCATAAGCATCGAAATGAGCGTTCCCTTTCCAACACCGGAAGGACCGCTTACGACAACCGGCTTCTCGGCTATGCCCGTCACACCCTTACTCCATGCAACCACCTCCACTCCCAATAGCTTCTTTTGTACCCGGACATAAGGAGTGTCCACCTAACGACCAAAAGACAACTTCAAATTGCTAGACTAGACCAAATGGCTCATGCCGTGATGGTTCGGGTTCAAGGCAAGGGTTTGAACCAAACTTTCAGAATACTAACCTCGAGGAACCAGATGGAGTCATCAGGACCTGACCCTTTCTTGATAACCAAGATCCTACCTTCTTTTAGCAGAACGGCTGAGTAGCCCTTGCAAGGCTTAGGGCTCGTTCCCAGCACAGTAGGACTAACCCTGCAAAAACAAGCGACAAATCCGTAGGATTTCAGTGTAAAACACGGTCACGAGCGATACCACTACGTAAAAATTCAACCTTTCGATGACCCACCAGTCGTTCGAGCTTTTGTCATGAATCTGAACGCCGAGGGCTTTGTGAGTTCGACCGATCACATACTGTAATAATGATTGATGAGATCTCAAATCAGATCAACACCAAGACATCGAAACAAGGCACATCACTCGAACAGGATTGGATCAAAACATCAGATGAGCTTACCGATCGATCGCCGACATCGACTGATATTGCACTGTGTTCGGATTCGGATTTTGCACCGAAACCATTGGAATGTCCGGTGAGCAGAGGGTCAACAAGAAAAGCCGGTGCTTCTCCCTGGTTAACAGAATCAACATGTGAGAAACCTATGGAGAAGGAACATCATGTCTTGTCCTAAGGGAAAGATTAAACAATAATTTTTGAAACAAGATATAATACATCAGCATCCACAAATTGAGAAAATTTGGATTGTGTTGAGTACAGAGTGAATCACCAAAGAGGCTCACCATAGAGATTCTATGCCTCCAAGAAGACAGACAACTCAGCCTGAGCAATGGCACACACACATATAAGAGATCATTAAAAAAAAACAAGAGAAATTACAATTCCCAAACCTCGAACAACTCGGAAGTTTTATAGAAAAATCGGAACTTTTACATGGAAACAAAAACATGTTGCGCTTTTCCGCGAAAAAGCAGCAAAACCCAAATGCAGATTCATCAAATAAACACCGAAACCGAGACATGAACACGAATCTCAAAACAGGATCTTGAAACCAGCGATCGAACGACGATTAAAAGCACCCAAAATCATATAAACGAGAACAAGCGAGATAGAATCAAACCCATGTTCGTACCTCGAGGAAAAACACCAGAACCGTGAGAAAGGCGGACGCTTTGGGACCGGAATCTGCTGCAGGTGATGACAAATCTTATATAAGAGAGGGGGGGGGAAGTGGATGCGAGAATTGAGAAACAAGTTTAGGGTACTTTTTCAACAAGAAGATTTAGTTTCCCAATATTTCCGCAGATTTCAATCTAAAATGCCTCGTTTGGGCATAAGGAGAAAAAAAAATCAGTGGATCACAGAAATCGAAGACAACTTGGAGACAAGGGGGCCGTGACGGTGCAAGGAAACTGTCTTTGGGAAATTCCCGTAAGGGCTTCTCCGTTATAAAAATAGGGCCAGAGAGAGAGAGAGAGGCGAAGGTGGCTCGTGAATTTTATTTATTTCTTTTTGTTTATTTTATTTATTATTAATATAAATATATTTATTAGTTTGCTCATATTTTTATGAATATAATTGTATACTTGTGTATGTATCTTCCCTATTTTAATGAATTCGGTGTGTGTGATTCCGGTGGCGCTCACTTCACGGAAAGACCTTTTCTTTTTCTTTTTCTTTCTTTTTTTTCTATACTTTTCGTATTTATTAATTTGATATCGTAGGCATGATTATCTTAGGCTTTAGGGTTCCTTTTATATTTATTTCTCCATTTATCTATATGAAAAGATAAAATATATTATTTATGTTGATAAACCCAGTGTATTTCTTTTTCGATACGTGTTTATCTCTTCTTAATATATTAATTAGATAGGCACATAATATGATTATGCGCCTAACGATAGAAAAATCAATTTAAAGAATAAAATCATGTATAACTTTCGTTTTCTGTAATAAATACACATGTGCCGAACCTTATTCTTAATAATAATAATAATAATAATAATAATAATAAACAAACTCTACCAAACTTGCTAAACAAATATATATCAACTTATAATTTAACAAATAAATACACTAAATATTAAAATGTGAAAAAATATTTTCAACTCTTGAAATCAAAAACAATTTTCTACACATGGACGATACGGTTAAGATCAGAATATAAAATTAATTTCAATTAAAATCCGTCAATATACTTATGACAAACAATTTAGATCGAATCATGGACGATATAGCTAAGAACTATGTATCCGATTGTTTTCGATTTCAGAAAAAAATAAAAACGATATATATTTTCTCATATTTTGTAAAATTTCGCATGTTTTTATGGAATAGAGTGTTGGAGACTTGGCGTAAAGAACAAGTCGAAAGAAAGAGAAGAGGAAACCGAGATCATGTACAATATGCCAAATTGGACCAATCATGTTAATTCAACGAAGAGTCATCATCACTTTTGACCAATGGAAGTAGTCGTCCGATTCTTGAATTGTGGGGGGTGTTTGGATAAGGACATAACTCTGTCCCTGTTATGTATTTATGTCTGCTTATTTCAACGTGTGCCAGAGTTTTAAGAAATCTAGAATGTACAATCGCTTCACATTGTTTTTCTCTCTATTACGCCGTGGGGGTTTTAGGTTTTTAATTACGCAAAAACTTTGGAAGATATATGTCTTTGGGACGAATTTAAAAGCCAAGTTGATATCTACTCAACGTTATATAATCGTGTCAATTGTATCATTATTGGCATAAAAACTTCAAGATGAAAATGTTTGAATCCAAAATAAATTTAAAAGGAGGATAAAAATTCGTTAATTTTAAGTAGAGATCGACTTGGTTTTTAAATGGAAGGAAACTTGGTTCATCACCAAGTCCTATTTTTTCTTACAAATCTATACATATTCTCATATTTTAAGAATTTTTGAAATTTTAAATATATTTTTTTAATCAAAATATATATGATTTTGTTGGATATTTAGTTTAATTTTTAAATTGTGAATATTGTACATAAAAAAACAAAAAAACCAATATTCATAAATATTTGTCTTTTAGATACCTATTACGAAACAAAGGTAGAGATAACATTTTTATAAAACACGTGAAAACGAAAACGATAACGGGTATCTCCAAAAACATATATACTCGGCCCATGCCCAACTCTACTAAACGAATCCAAAAAAAAGTTTATCGGTCTCACCTAAAAACGAGCTAAATCCAAAATCAAATCCAAAATGATGGCTCATTTTAAATTTTAAATATGAATTAATTATCCAAACATGAACAATAAGAGGGTTCGACTTCAACCCATCAAAATGCCGTCATGAAGATAGGCTCGGCCCACCCATTTTGTCCTCAAAGGCCCATAAAAAGCCCAATACAAAGTACGTAAGAAATCGTATCTTTTCAAACGTCAAGTTGTGTATGGATTTGACGCGTACCAAATCCATTAAACGAAACGTTCGGCCACATACATTGAAATTGACTTTAATAACCAAAAAAAATTGAAATTGAAATTGAAATTGAAGTGAATTCATGAAACGTAGGGCCATGTAATACGTATACGCCACGGAATCTGTTCAAAATAAGTTCAAACCGCCAAATCAATTGAAGCAGAGCCGACCCACATGACATCTCCTAGCTTATGTCCCATCTGTGTCGTTTTATAACCTATAGTTTTTTTTTATAAGATTTATAACCTATAGATCTCATCCAACTTTCCTTTTTTCCAAATAAAACTATTTTTTTTTTTCCTTTTTGTCTCTCACCGATGAAGTTTGTTCATATACCATATAATTCAATATAAAACTTTGTAATATTATCTGTATGTTTTTTTAAAAAAATCAATTAATGCAAAGCGTTGACTTTTGTTTGAAATAATTAGACACTTGGGTAAGTGGTTTATATTATTAATAGATAATGGGGAAGGTCCAAGGAAGATGGGTTCATGACGCGTGGAGGTTTGAACAAGCAAACCCTGTTCGTTGTTCGTTTTGACTTGGTCTGACCGTTGACCGACAGCCTTAAGGTTCCTTTTTAATTGCAATCACCATTTTTGGAACCTTCTGATTATATAACATATATGCATATATATAATAGCGAAATAATCCGTATGTTTCTTTTGGTCTGTCCTCTTAAATGTTTGTAACCACTCTTGCATGTTAGGACTTGTAAATTATTATAATAAACAATTAATCATTAGGAAACTATAATGTCTCATGTTTTCATTATCCAACTCTTACATATAATATTATACACACTCAAATATTCCATGTGTTTTTTTTGCAATTTAAATGCTTATAAAATATTACTTTCTCACTTTCAAAATATTGATAGTTTTAGGTTATTTTTTATGTTTCAAAATATTTGTCATTCTATATTTTTAAGACATTTTTTACAATAGTTTTCAATTTTATCCCTATTAAATTCTAATAAATTATTAGTGATAACATTGTTTTTATCATTAAATAAGGATATATATATGATTTTTTTCTATTTTTTTAAATGTGAAATAACCTAAAACAACAACTCTTTTGAGACGGATGGAGTAACATATTTCATTGTGCGAAATAATGGGCTTAATTAGTAATTGGGGAGTCATTATATTGAGTTAAATGAGAGAAAATGTTATTTAAAAGTTAATTATATTCAAAAAATTTACACAATCAATTCAAAATGTAAAACCCTTCACTATTATATAGAGCTGCTTCGACTCATTATATGAACTCGATCAACTTAAATATTTAAAACCCTCTAAATGAATATTCGAATTATATGTCAATTGATTGCCCATTTATAATCAAAGCGTGTGAATGGTTAATGACTTCCGCGATCGATATTGTAGTTTAAACGGGAAGAGGATCCTAAAAATAAATAAATAAATAAATAAAAAGTTTGTCACTTTCAAAATAAGAAATTACAGGGAGAAAGAAAGAGTCGTAGAGCTGGAGAGAGACGATGGAGGGAAGATTTCGGCCTTCTTTTCCGTACATCTCCTCTGTAAATTTGCCCTAATTTTCTTTTTGGGATTGTGAAAACACAACGAAGATTTTTATTTTCTTTTTTTAATCGAAATAATTCAGATATTGGATTGCTCATCCTTCGTCTTCTCTTCGACGCGTTGAAAATCCGCCCACCATCTTCTTCTCTGTCTTCCTCCGTCTTTCTATTCATATATAACCCTTTTCCCCGGAGCTTTTCCAGGTCGTACGATTATCTGATTGTTTTTATCTTCTTCGTGGGTTTATCCAGATTTTTCCGGTTTTCCCGGGAAAATCAAAACTTTCTCTGAACCAGTATCTGGGTTTCGTTTGATCTCGCGGAGCTGCGGGGGTTTCACCCAGCTCCGCTTTCGATCTGTTGCGAATTTGCGATATTAATCGGTCAATTGCGGTCGATCCAATGGGGAATTGCTGTGGGACACCGAATTCGTTGGTCCAACACGAGAAGAAGAAGAAAGGGGGGAAGAAACCGAACCCTTTCTCCATCGATTACGGCCTCCACCACGGCGGCGGCGGCGGCCACAAGCTCGTCGTCCTGAAAGAGCCGACGGATCGCGAGATCGGGTCGAAATACACGCTGGGTCGGGAGCTCGGTCGCGGCGAGTTCGGGGTAACGTACCTTTGTACGGACAAAGAAACCGGGGAGACCTTCGCTTGCAAGTCGATCTTGAAGAAGAAGCTGAGAACGGCGGTGGATATCGAGGATGTCCGGAGAGAAGTTGAGATCATGAGGCAGTTGCCTCAGCATCCGAACATTGTAAGCTTGAAAGAGGCATACGAGGACGATAATGCAGTGCATTTGGTCATGGAGCTCTGCGAAGGAGGCGAGTTGTTCGATAGGATCGTCGCGAGAGGGCATTACACGGAGAGAGCTGCCGCTGCGGTGACCAAAACGATCGTGGAGGTTGTTCAGGTTCGTGTCCTTTCGATGTTCTTCCTTCTTGTCTGTTTCATGTCTTAAGGACTTGCATTTCTAGGAACGGATTTATAGAGGTTCAGACTTCAAATATCAGTTCTGTTTTCTGTTCTATGGACATTATCTATGCGTAGCCATTGCTTGAAGGGCTCTGTTTTCTGTGAAAAGAAAGCATATTTCCATTTGCTTTTGTGTTTTCAGCAACAATGAAGCCGTTGACATGATTCTTGACTTGAGATCAATATGTTCCTGTGTGTGTGCAGATGTGTCATAAGCATGGAGTAATGCACAGGGACTTGAAGCCTGAGAATTTCTTGTTCGGCAACAAGAAGGAAACTGCTCCTCTTAAGGCGATTGACTTTGGTCTCTCGGTTTTCTTTAAGCCAGGTAACGTGACCAGGATCTCAATGAAAGATCATAAACTTCTGTTTCATTGTTTTGTCTGAATGAAAACAATTCTGATATCCTTGTGTTTTTCTTGGCAGGTGAGAGGTTTAACGAAATTGTTGGAAGCCCATACTACATGGCTCCCGAGGTGCTAAAACGCAATTACGGACAGGAGGTAGACATTTGGAGTGCTGGTGTTATTCTTTACATTCTGCTTTGCGGTGTCCCGCCTTTCTGGGCAGGTTAGTCTTGTTTCACTTTGCATCTATCCAAACAAATGTTTGTAAAGAATGTAACTTTACTTAGGGGATTTGTGAAAACCACCTGCAAGAGTTACGGGCAGACGTAAAGTACTGATCTTGTGGCTTGCATGACATTTGCAGAAACCGAGCAAGGAGTTGCACAAGCAATCATTCGATCTGTATTGGATTTCAGAAGGGACCCATGGCCCAAAGTTTCCGAGAACGCCAAAGACCTTGTCAGGAAGATGCTTGATCCTGATCCAAAACGGCGCCTCACCGCTCAGCAAGTGCTTGGTATATTTTTCAGTATTACATTCATTGTTTTTTGCTCTGTCCTGCTTTTTTTTCAGAAACATATTCCTAAGAGTGATCTTCTTACAAAATCGGGTTCATGGTTATGCAGATCATCCTTGGTTACAGAATGCTAAGAAGGCTCCCAATGTTTCATTGGGTGAAACCGTGAGGGCAAGGCTGAAGCAGTTCTCTGTTATGAATAAGCTCAAGAAAAGAGCTCTTACAGTAAGCTTCCTGAATCTGATAAAGAAATAGAGAAAAATGTATAACTCCTTAATTCGTTTTTGTATTTTCGGAAGGCTAAACTATAGCGTATTATGTTCGTCTACAGGTTATCGCTGAGCATCTATCTGCCGAGGAAGCCTCTGGTATAAAAGAAGGGTTCCAAGTCATGGACACAAACCGGAGAGGGAAGATTAACATCGACGAGCTAAGAATCGGGTTGCAGAAACTCGGTCATCACATTCCTGACGATGATGTACAAGTCTTGATGGAAGCTGTAAGCTCTTAAGCAATACCTTGATGCACCTTCAAGTTTCCCCCCTCTCTCTCTTTCTCTGGTTTTTTGTACTCGTGGCTTACGAGGGGCTTATTCTTGCATGCAGGGAGATCTGGACAAGGATGGATACTTGGATGTGAATGAGTTTGTAGCCATATCCGTGCACCTAAGGAAGATGGGCAATGACGAGCACCTCAAGAAAGCGTTCCAGTTCTTCGACCAGAACAAGAGTGGATATATCGAAATCGAGGAGTTAAGAGATGCATTGGCTGATGAAGTTGACACCAGTGAAGAAGTTATCGATGCCATTATGCATGACGTTGATACCGACAAGGTTAGCAAATCTATCATCTCTCCAATCAAACTTTCCTCCTTCACATTGTGTGAAAGCAGATACCTTTACCGAGTCCAAGAAACAGGGTTCTGACAGATTTGAATTTTACAGGACGGAAGGATAAGTTACGAAGAATTTGCGACAATGATGAAGGCGGGAACAGACTGGAGAAAGGCATCGAGGCAGTACTCGAGGGAAAGATTCAAGAACCTCAGTCTCAAACTGATGAGAGATGGGTCGTTGCAGTCCAACAATGGCGATCCAAAAATGATATGAAATCATTACGGTATGCCCGCCATGAGAGATGAGATCAAAAGGGGAATGCAAATCTCTGTCGTTTCTTTTCCACTACACAGTTAGTTTAAATGGGTTCTTGATTAAGCCTTAGGGAAACACACGGTTCTGAATATTGTCTGAATACCTGAGATGTCTGAAGAAGAAGAAGAGGAAGAAGAGCAGAGGATCTGGTCTGTGGCTGTGTCTGTGTGTATATATTTATCTGAATTCTGAACACATCATCATTTTTTTCCCCTCGTGGTATTTGTAATTTTTATATGCCCCAAAAAGTTTGGGATATAATTCTCTGCTCCTTGAAAAAAAAAGGCAGAGAATGGCTTGTATTCTTTTTTTTTTTTTTGGATCTTGTAAAACCCAGTTCGGGAGGAAATGTAGAGTTTGATGGCTTTGTATTCCTAATTTAATGTCGAAATACATATACATATATATATATATATATATATATGTTCTATTTGATATGGTTTAAATTCGATTATAGGTTGCATCATCGCTGCTTGGGTCGATCCAATTTCCCCAAAAAACCGTAGAAAATAATGAAATAATATAATATAGTTTGGGAAAGCAAAGGATTATTTTTATTGACCGAATTAAAATAGTTTTTATTTAGAGTTTTTGAATTTATTTTTTATAGTTTTTGGTTTTTGGGTTTTGAATTTTGATTTTTGATTTAAATCCAAAAAAATAGAGTTTTTTAGTTTTAGATTGATTTTCCATCAATATAGTTTTTTTAATTTTTAAAAAACTAATTTTATACAAACTTTATTGATTATTTTGTTTTTAATTTTTAAAATTCAAAAACTATAAAAACCGAATCTGGGCCCGAAGCTTATTACATGTCGCTGACGTCATCGCGAATGCCTACTCAACAATTTTGGGGCCCACATCGTTTACGTGTACTGTTGTATGAAATCCTATCATTACTTTGATTGTGACCGTCTGATCTTTAATCGATTTGCAATCACACACAATTTTTGTTTAAAATAATAAATAATTGGAAATTCGTGCGAGGTGGGAAAATGGCACACGTGTGCCCCTCTATTCCAACTTTGTATGCAGAATCACAAATTCTAAATTTAATGTTTGGTTACTGCCAAATTGGCAGCAGACAAGAGTTTAGACTTAGGGTCTACATCACATATCATATATTGGACATCAACTATGTATTGTACGTTTTTATTAATCTATGTGAGTGATATATAATCTCTAAGGCCGATTTAATTAATCAATTTGAATAAAATTTTATTTAGGGTTGTGTCACATTGTGTGTAAAGTGGCATTATTATCTCCAAATCAGCTTTTAGTACATTAATCTAATCAATGATGTATGACACGTATCCAACTCGGCTAATTAAGAACCTACAAAAAGCTAGTTTTATTCTCCTAATTACATTAATTAAAAAGGAAAAACAAAGGCTATCCTGTGGCATAGATGCCAAATAAGATCTCACTCACAAAAATATCAAAACGACAACATTTATGTATGCACATATATATATATATATGGACGGTATGTTCTATATATGTATATATATAATGATGTACTTTACGTATGAACATGGAGGACCAATTACGTGGCCATTATTATTTGATACTTTTGATTTGCGAATTGTTAATTGCACAATTATCGAAGTCCACATCATTTACACCTGTCGAACATTTACTATGTATTAAAAATAATTACTATATTATTAATTGGAAGCAAATCATCGTTTAGGAAAATTATTTAGCATTAAAACAACACATCATTATTAGCCTTTTAATTGTCGTATTAAATTTGTACAAGATTAAGATTTAAGACAAAAAAAAAAAATTAAGCATCGCATCATAAAAAGGACTTCAACAATAAAAAGTTCCAGAGAGAAGAGGACATCATGAACTCCATGTGAGAGATCTTAGACGAACACTTGATGTCCGATGAACTCGAGCTGACGTGGATGGGTCCCGTTTGGATCACGAAATAAGATTTTACAATGCCCAAACTTGACTCAATCATTGAAAAATCGAGGGAAAGACTAAAGATTTTTATTCGACCTTCGATTAGAGTTTGACTAAATTAAATGCAAGTAATATACTATATAACTCAATGATATGTTTGAATCCCATCCCGTGGAAACAAATGCAAAAAAATTGGAGTCCAAGTTATAAATATTTTAAAAGCTAAAGTTTGAATAATAGATTTATTCTTAAAAGTTAAAACGGTTATAACCGGGATCTCGTGTATCCAGTTGGTTCCAAACACGAGATCTGATTTTTATCCATCGGTCATGGTTTATATTCTGATTATTTACCCCTTTTTAACCAAATTACAAAAATAATATCTATAGATTTATTAAAATTTACAAAATTAATATCATGTGCCATATGACTCACTAGGGTTCCAAATTACAAAATTATTCGTTTTTTTCTCTCTCTCTCGAAAGTTTAGACAATTTTGTTTTCTCGCCTCCTCCTCCATTTATAGATATCTGCATACATTATAAAATATTCAGTTTTTTTTTTAATATCTAAAATCTAAAAATTCGATTTTTAGATAAATATTTTCAGACACACAAACAGTATGGCCGTAAAACAGATAAGCAAACAAGGAAATAAAAGAAATAAATAAATGGATAATGGTGGACTGTTTGAAGAACTTTCCATCATCAGTTCTGATTCTGAATTCCTAGTCTCAAGGTAACGTTAGCAATTAATGTGAATGCGAAAGGACAAAATCGTCATTTAAGCCGTCCAATGATGAGCTCGGAGAGTTGGACCCGGCGCTCAACTTGCCCCCTCGAATCTATTGCTGTGTTACACAAACTGAAACAAATACCTTATCATAAGCAGCGTATTTTTTTTTTTAATTTAATTTATTTTTATTGTATTCCGACGAAACGCCTTGGGAACCACTACATGTTGGAAATTGGAATGAAATGCTTATATATATATATATATATATATGAAATCAACACACGTGTATTGTAAATTTATAAGTCGGAGTTTGTTGGTTGCGACCATTTGCTTCTATTTTTCTTTTTTCAACAAAATTCAAATCTACCATTATAAAAAGAAAACGGCGAGAGATGAAAATATCTTGTTTTTTTAAATATATATTTTTTCTACCACGAAGAAGCGAGATTACACGTGGCGACATCCCAACGGCTTTACACCCTGCTCCCCCGAGTATATAAAGCTCATCCTCCTCGACCTTCCTCTTCCTCCATCACCATAACCGTCGGAGCCAACACTTCAGCGCAGATTCTGTTCTTCTCGTGGAAGCAGCATTTTCGCTTCTGCAGAGCACAGCCTATCTCTCTAACTGTCTCTTCGGACTTTCTCTCTCTAGAACCCGCGCTTGAGCTATCTCAGCTCGGCGACCGAGGAGCTACTGGTGAGTGTCTCTGTTTCCTCTGCTGCTTTTTTTTTGAAGCAGATCATGTAAGAACAGGTTCTGTCTGTTTCATGGCAAAGATTCCGGTGAATTCGGAGCAAAAGCCCCTTGTGTTGTTCAGCGCTCTATTTTCTCCGATTTGCCGGAGGAAACAGTTCCCTCCCATGAGAGAGATTACAGTTCCCTCCCATGACACTGTAGGTTCAAGAGGCATCTGAGAAAATGACGGTCACGCCAAAGGTATCCGTTCAGAACGACGACCTGGTGGTTCAAGGGAAGACCATCCTCACCAAAGTTCCCGACAACATTTTCCTAACTCCAGGAACTGCTTCCGGGCTTGTCTCCGGCGCTTTCATAGGCGCAACATCTGATCACAGCAAGAGTTTCCATGTCTTCCCCATGGGTGTATTGGAGTAAGCATTGAACCTCCCTCTCTATGTATATGAACATATCGTGCCATTGATGATGTTTGGGATTAAGGATGTGTTTTGGTGATACAGGGGACTTCGGTTCATGTGCTGTTTCCGGTTCAAGCTCTGGTGGATGACTCAGAGAATGGGGACCTCTGGAAAAGATGTTCCTTTGGAGACCCAATTCATGCTTATAGAGAGCAACGACGAGGTTGACGTAAACGGGGACGATGCTCCGACAATCTATGTCGCTTTCCTCCCTCTCCTCGAAGGCCAGTTCCGGGCAGTTCTGCAAGGCAACGAGAACAATGAGATTGAGATTTGTCTCGAGAGCGGTGTGTGGAATATATCCGTGAAAGAGTTTCACGGATGATCGATTGATGAGCTTATGACTTATTAAATCAATCAAGAACCAAAACTGAAAACATCATTCCTCTGTTTTTTGTTTTGCAGGAGACAGGACGGTGGAAACCACCCAGGGAACTCACCTTGTCTACGTCCACGCTGGAACTAATCCCTTTGAAGTCATCAGCCAAGCCGTAAAGTATGTCCGACCACTGTTTTTCTTTTCTTTTCCTGATATCAGTTCCATCACTGCTGCTTTTCGTGAATGTGAAAAAAATTGAAGAACAGTTTCTTATATGATGGTGCTTCTATGTGATTAACAGGGCTGTAGAGAAACACATGCAAACATTCCACCATCGTGAGAAGAAGAAGGTTAGTGAATCTTACATGCTACTTGCTCATAGAGCAAAGAATTCTGGCCATTTGATTGGGGATCTAATGATCTTCACCTCTTTTGTTTGTTCAGTTGCCTTCTTTTCTCGACTGGTTTGGGTGGTGCACGTGGGATGCATTCTACACAGATGTGACAGCCGAAGGCGTCGTTGATGGCCTTAAAAGGTAACCTACAAATGTCAGAAGATAGCGCATAAATGTTCGATTATGTAATAATTTATAAAGTCTCTGATCGATTCTTGGTTAATAACAGTCTCTCTGAAGGAGAAACTCCACCGAAATTCCTGATCATAGACGATGGTTGGCAACAGATAGAAAGTAAAGACAAAGAAGCGGAATGCGTTGTGCAAGAAGGAGCACAGTAAGATTCCTCGGCCTTCTGTATATTCAGAATGGCTCGTTGGCCATATATAATGAACCAGCAAGTGTTGCATATGCTAAGTTTGCCCGCATTCATTTGTTTGCAGGTTTGCTAATAGACTGGCTGGTATCAAAGAGAACAAAAAGTTTCAAAAGAAGAACCAGAGCAATGAACAAGCATCAGGACTAAAGAATGTTGTTGACGATGCCAAGCAATGCCACGATGTGAAGTAAGACTTTCAGTTTTTATAGCTTTTCTTATCTACCCAAATGCATCGTTCATGTGCATAGTGTAATTAAATGATTTGCCTCTTCCTACAGGTATGTTTATGTATGGCATGCTTTAGCCGGTTACTGGGGTGGAGTTAATCCCTCAGCCACTGGAATGGAACACTACGATAGCGCATTAGCATACCCGGTTCAATCCCCGGGTGTATTGGGGAACCAACCGGATATAGTAATGGACAGCCTCGCGGTTCACGGGCTAGGTCTTGTCCACCCAAAGAAAGTTTTCAACTTTTACAATGAGCTACACTCGTACCTGGCTTCATGTGGTGTAGACGGAGTGAAAGTAGATGTGCAGAACATCATCGAGACCCTCGGTGCCGGTCATGGTGGGAGAGTCTTTCTTACACGCAGCTACCACCAGGCTCTCGAGGCCTCCATTGCTCGGAACTTCCTGGATAATGGTTGCATTGCTTGCATGTGTCACAACACAGATGGAATATACAGTGCAAAACAGACCGCCGTCGTTAGAGCATCCGACGATTTTTACCCGAGAGATCCAGCTTCTCACACCATCCACATCTCTTCGGTCGTGTACAACACCCTTTTCCTCGGGGAATTCATGCAACCTGACTGGGACATGTTCCACGTAAGTGAAAGAGATACTTTCAGCTACGATTTATACAAACACTAACACTTATTAACCTTGAAGGAACAAAGTAGAAAAGGAGTAAGTTTACTAACCACTGTATCTGTAACATTTTCAGAGCCTACACCCAGCTGCAGAGTATCATGCCGCGGCACGTGCAGTAGGGGGATGTGCGATCTATGTCAGGTGACCCTCTCCCTTCAACTTACATTTTGTTCTTCTTTTGGTTAGTACTCTAAGGATGTAACTGAAAATGTATGCATGATATTACCTCTACAGTGACAAGCCGGGCAACCACAACTTTGAACTGTTGAGGAAATTGGTTCTTCCAGATGGTTCAGTTCTTCGTGCCCAGCTTCCTGGCAGGCCAACCCGTGATTGCCTCTTCGTCGATCCAGCCAGAGACGGCGTCAGGTTAGCTACTTCTCCAAGTTTGTCGCTCTTAGTATTTTGGTATGATTGATGGATCATGGAAGTAAGCTTAACACTTGTGAAAACTGAAAAATCTGACAGCTTGCTCAAAGTCTGGAACCTGAACAAGTGCTCCGGCATTGTTGGTGTCTTCAACTGCCAAGGCGCCGGTTGGTGCAAAGAAACAAAGAAAAACCGCATTCACAATGCTTCTCCTGGGATCCTCACCGGTTCAGTCTATGCCGATGATGTCGATCTCATGGCCCAAGCTGCCGGTGCAGAGTGGAATGGAGATACAGTGGTCTATGCATTCAGATCAGGTAAAAGTGACATTCCACAAACTTGAAATATCGTGAATATGTTCTGCATCTCTTGATGAAGATGAATTGAAATCATGCTGAAAGATGAGCACCTTTGATCACAGGGGAGGTGATAAGACTACCAAAAGGCGCCTCCATCCCGCTCACTCTCAAAGTGCTCGAATATGAACTCTTCCACTTCTCTCCGTTGAAGGTACATATCCACAAAATCTTATACCGTAAAGACGAACATTTCATATCCGACTTGTACAGACAAAAGCTTTAAAATTTCTGCAGGAAATCGCTCCAAGCATCGCATTTGCACCAATCGGTGTGCTCGACATGTTCAATGCCGGTGGTGCTGTGGAAGCCATAGAAATCAACATGGTCACTGACAAGGAACCTGAGTTCTTCGACGGAGAGGTCCCCTCAGAAACGAATCCTACCGCCCTCAGCGAAAACCGTTCCCCAACTGCTGTGATCTCACTCAAGGTCAGGGGTTGCGGCCGCTTTGGAGCCTATTCTTCTCAACGTCCGCTAAAATGCAGTGTCGGTAACGCAGATACAGACTTCAACTACGACACTGCCGCAGGACTGGTGACATTCAATCTCCCTGTCCCAAAGGAAGAGATGCACAGATGGCTTGTAGAAATTCGCATCTGAGCAACATTGGAACGATCGCCATTGGTGTTCATCATATCATTCATATCACGATAGGAAATAACAAATGCTAGTAGTAGTAGTAGTAGTAGTGTCTTACATATGTAATGTCCCACAAGTGGAATCGTCTTCGATTCGCGTTTTAGGCTTTTAGCTGTTAGTCATCGAGCTCGAGCGAGAGCTAGCTCCGTTGTTATGTACCTTCTCTGAAATGAAAGAAATCAACCTTGCATTGCAAACACTTTTGTCGCGACTGAGACTCTTGGTTCTGATTTCATCTTTTAGTAAGAATTCAAATCAGCACTTAGGGTTTACTGGTTCCGATCCTACACCAGAAACCCTAGAGGTTCTATATATCTGTTCTACTCCGCGAAATCACCCACGATCAGCACAGCTATTCGAAATCAAATGACCTGGGAGTAGTAGAAGACATCTGCCGATTCAGCAAAATCCGCGCAAATGGTAAGAGGAGATAACGCACAATGCTATCGCCGGAATAATCTCCAAATCGCCGGAGAAAATAACCGATCGCCTTGCTGTTCTCGCCGGCAAGAGTAACGCGGCGGCGAAACGACGGCTGTGGAGGAGATGCGACGACGTGACGATAGTGATTTCGGGTCACAAAATCGAGGCGCACGTTTTAAGGACACGCTGCGGTTTTCCTGCCTCCTAGAAGAAAACGGCATGCAGTCCGGTTCTCTTTCGCTTGATTTATGTCCGTACTGCTGCTGGGCCTTGAACACCTTTTCCGGCCCATTCAATTGGGCTCGACGTCATTTTCTTATTTCTTTACTAAATTTTCCAAACCCAAAAAAAACTCACATAATAATAATAATAATAATAATAATAGACCACATCTTTTAAAATCATTAAAAATGGAAAATAATTTGTAACTGTCCGAATGACGATGCTTTCATAGCTAAAATTTCGATAGAACAAGATTCCGTACACTGCATAATCTTGATGGGCATCATCATTAAAGAGGGACGAGAGAATGCAAATACAAAGCATCTGAGCCAATATACGTAACTTGGTGGGAGAGAGAAACCGATTGTGTATATTCACAACGATTATTATATATTTGATAAGGCGGTTATTTGATCAAGCAAGTTGGGTCCATACCATGATGTTTCCCGCAACGAATTTAACCGAACATTTTTATTATTATTATTATTATTATTATTTGTGATATTCCATCGTTTCCTTGTAAATACGTATCATTGAAATTGTTGCACGACACCACCTCCTCAGGTTTCCATATGGATAACGAACTTAAAAACATTTTCTCTATTTATATATATATATATATAATTAGTTTACCATCGTATTACTAAATCCATTAATGTGTATAATTATTTTCCATGACGTCGTACAAAAATGTTATATTTTTTGTACATATAATTTTGTGACTTATAGTATATTAGTTGCGATTCCGTCCACGATGACAGGATCATTAACGTGTTTTTTTTTTTTGCAAATGTCACTGTAATAATAATGATAAAGGTTTTTTTTTTGGTAAAAATATTGATTATGAATATTATTATGTATGAATTTTCTGTCATTTTTTTACCAAAGAAAAACCGTATTATTAAATAATAAATTATTTACTGTTTATTTAATGATCAAATGTGATATTATGGAACCTTTTTAGCGTAACATTAATTGCCTAAGTGTGTACACAATCTACCCGATATATACGACTCACGTAAGCACAAGCAAATCTAACGTAGCTCTCTCTCTCTCTCTCTCTCTCTCTCTCTCTCTCTCTCTCTCTCCTCC